TATTATTATTACTATTATTATTATTATCTTTACCTTTACAGAAAGCCGATATTGCAATTGCTCCATTAACAATAACATTGGTGAGAGAAGAGGTGATTGACTTCTCAAAGCCCTTTATGAGCCTGGGGATATCAATAATGATCAAGAAGCCTCAGAAGTCGAAGCCAGGAGTGTTTTCGTTTCTTGATCCCTTAGCATATGAAATCTGGATGTGCATTGTTTTTGCCTACATTGGGGTCAGTGTAGTTTTATTCCTGGTCAGCAGATTTAGCCCATACGAGTGGCACACTGAGGAATTTGAAGATGGAAGAGAAACGCAAACTAACGAATCAACTAATGAATTTGGGATATTTAATAGTCTCTGGTTTTCCCTGGGTGCCTTTATGCAGCAAGGATGCGATATTTCGCCAAGGTTGGTTACTCGCCCGTACCAACTTTGTGCATTTTCTGTCTCAGCCAGAGGTTCATGGTGCAGATATTTTCACTTTCAGGACAAAATTGCTATTGTCCTTTATTTTTTTTTTCTTTTCTTCACAAAATCGCATAAGTCCTTGTGATAAAAGCAGTTGCCACTGACATAGAGTAATGATGTATTTGATTGATTCTGTCTTAATGTCGATTGTACATTTGCCAAGTGAACCTATGTGCACCATGAGGAGACTTTAAAATGCACAAGGTTCCAGTCATTTCATGCCTTCTTGGAGGGGTACCGTGTTTTTGCTGCATATTCCCATTTTACAGTTGACAGTGCATCTGTTTCACAACGACTGTAATGGGAAAAAAGGGTAACACACTATTCAAGAATTGCAGAAATAGAATGTTCTCTCCAAAACTCACTACATAAAGTAACATCCCAGATACTAACCCACTGTTTCAACAGGAGAGCCTTGAACTGGAGTAAAAGTGATGGTTCTCATTTTTGTGAATATTTGCAGAACACTGCTGCTTTTCTATGACCTACTTTTGTGAAAGTCACCAAGTTCCTAAAATGAATTGGAAGGTCCAGTTTATTTATGCGTCATTTCTTGAGGGATTTTTACCTAGTTTAGCAGGGGCAGCCATAAAGCACTCCAGTTAATTGATATGCAGCTCGTTAACTGTTCTGTATCCCTTGTGTGCAAGTGGTTCTAGCCTCCATGCAGCAACGTTGTGAGTAGGTCGGTGACTGTGCACTGCTTGAAGGAACTCTAGTGTAGCAACGAAATAGGGCAGCTAGGGCTGAGGATACCAAATGAGAAGAACTTCCTGATTATACTTAGTAAGTTGCCTTTTTTTTCCAAACATCTGAAAGTAGGATACAGAGGAGGGCAATTTCTAGTGAGTATTTACGGTGCCAAATACACGAATAAATCGTATGAAGGGAGCATTTTTATATCTGCACCTTGTAACCTAAAAGACAAGGGTAGGTGTTCTCATTCCACTATGGAAATAGGAGAGTATTTGTTCTATGAGAATTTCTGCTTTTCTGTGGAACTTACATGGTGAAATATAGAATATAGCTGTCTCTGTGATGAAAAATGTGGTAGATTTTGGCACAGGTACCTGGAGAATGAGACAATGAGAGATCAAATAGTTTCAGGTAATGAGAAGCTGTGTCCCTTGTGGGTTTTTTTTTTTTTTTATATTGATTACGCACTTCAAAAGTTTAGTTGTCAGCAAAGTCCTCTTGTAGCTACAGAATTATTTTTATTGAATCGAGGCCATAGGAGACTAGTGCTCATCTACATTTTTTTTCATTTTACTAGCTCTTAAAGCCTGACACTTGTGTGCTGTTTTGGTAATATTTGAAAGGTGGTATAAGAGTAATGATAGTAAATTACCATCATAACAAAGTGCCTGAAACTAGAATTATTCTAGAGGTTGAAGTGGCGGATTCAGTGTCACTGCACTTCTTTTTATTCCAAAAATACTTCTGAGGAAAGTAGTTAATTGCTATCTCTGTTATAAAAATGTAAAAGGCTGAAAATATTTCAATTGTTTTTGTTCTTATACCAAACTTACCACCATGGTATTTTAATTCCCTGCAAATGAATTAAAGTGCATAAGAAAAGGAATTTCTGTAGATATTAGCCAGATACATATTGGCTATATATATGAAGTTATATTTCACACTATTATTATACCATTTCTATTACAAAGGTAGGATCAGCTAAGAAATCTAGAATAAAGAAGCTTCTAGGGCTTCCTCTTTCTGAAATGGAATTAGTTCTGAGTAAGCTTGAAGTGTCTAGAAATCTGGAAAGCAGCCTGCATAACAACCCCAATGAAGTCTTGATGGTGACCTTGAAGGAGTCATAGCAAAGTACAGCAGAAATTCTCTCTTTTTTCATTTGAGATGTAAGCGTACTCTAAATACTGCAGTATATTACCTTGGTAAGTATAAAGAGTGTTGCACAAATGTAGATATTTGGGTACCCAAAAGGTTGTTATAGTATTCAGTGCTCAGATATGAGGTGTTTGTACAGATGTGGATTCTTATTGACATATAATAATTATTATCCATCTTCAGAAAATTTTCAAGACATATGGAGGAAACAAAAAAAGGATTTATTTAACTGGGACAGATCTATGGGAAAATTCCAAACAGAAACCACACCCAAAGAGATTTTGCTTGGAGGATGTCACGCAGGAGCATAACATTGCTGTTGGCACTGAGCTTATTCCATTTTACAAAGTCAGTACCCGTTTTGCTGGCTGATGGATTATGTGCTTTTGCAGATTATGAGTTGGCACTTGTAGGGAATGTTGTGCATACCATATAAAATGCCACAAAATCAGCCCTGATTTTATTGAATACACCTTGCCAGAGATATTACCTTGCAAGTGTGTTTATTATATAATTTGGTCATTGGTAGAATGTACTTATGGTGTACTCGGGTAACTCCATGCCAATGTAAGTATATATTCCTTCTAACGTTATCAAAAATGTGTTTGCAAAATATATTTCAGTCTAGAAAGACTGGAAGTAAGTTCTTGTGTATGGTCCTTTTCAATAACATAATCTGGACCATATTTGACTTGATTTTTATGTGGTAAGTTAGTGATTTTGTTGTGGCATAGAATAGGTGTTTTCATATCTCAAATACCTTGGAGATTTTTCATAATAGCCATCAGCAAAATGATTTGTCCAGAATTGTTTCCACTTATTTTTCTTCCCAGTTAAATACATCAACTTTACCTAATTGTTTAAATAATATGCTTTACTAAAAATATATAGGTATAGTAATACCTGTCTGTCTATATACACCTTATCAAAATTAGTTTGAAAATCTCATTCACAATAGTGTTAAGTGGTTTGGGTGAATGATTTGTAATTTGTTTATTTGATAGATAAAGAGAGACATCAGGATCTAAGGTACTGCAGTTCCTTAGTACTAGACTTTGAACTACATGCAGATTTCTGCCAAAGAATTAAGCACATCTCCAAAGATTATGTCCTTCCTATAATTTCCTGTTTGGAAGCAAAGTAGTAAGTAATTGCAAAGTTTAAAGGATCATTAAGAAAAAAGACACATATGACAACGATGTCAGTAGCAGTATTTTTTTCTATTACTTTTTCAATTTCAAAAATTACTGATTTTTTTCTGCTTGTGTGCTTTATACTGTTTTATGTATTTTCTTGAGTTCTCTTTTTTTTCTCTCTTGAGCAGGAGATGCAAAACAAAGATCCATAACAGCCCACCTACTGCAGTTAAAACATCAGATTATTGTTTAAAAATATAATTTCTCCGTGTTTTTCTGTATTAGCAGTTTGACTGTTTCATGTCTAGTCGTTAGTTTGCTAAGTGATCATATCTTCCAAAAATTGTATGCATTTTTTAGCTTATGAATATTCCCTGAGCTAGTCTTCATCGCAAATAATGCTATTTATTCCTCCGTATAAAATGTCCACAGCAGTGCAAAACATTATGTTGCGGAAACCAGCCTTTGAATGTCTTAGGAAAACAAGCTAAAGACACTTACTTTTTAAGTGCATACGGGATTATCTGAAAGGAGAATTTCACTGGTTTTGTTGATTCTCCCTATATTGTCACACAGGTTGGCACTGCAGGATGTGCCAGGCCTGTGTGTTACCCAGCATGACGGTGGGAGCGCTTGCGTTTCAGGGGGTTCAGGTCTTTGCAGAACTGGAGCATTTAAACGCTCCCTAAAATAAACTCTGGAGGCCTGATCTTAGCCAAACGCGGGAGATGTGGTGGGGTTGACTTTGCAGAGCTGTAGCGCGCATTGATTTTTGCAGCTGATTAGTATGCAGGGCTGCACAGCAAGATAACCCGCAATGCTGCCCTCTCGTGTAATGCACCATTTGCATAGAACTGATAACGTGTGTTCCTTTTTAGGACTTTCATTTCACTTTACAAATCCATTTCATACTTGTTATTAGATCCCTGTCTGGGCGCATTGTTGGAGGTGTGTGGTGGTTCTTTACCCTGATCATAATCTCCTCCTACACGGCTAACCTAGCTGCCTTCCTGACGGTTGAGAGGATGGTGTCTCCCATTGAAAGCGCAGAGGATCTTTCCAAGCAGACAGAAATTGCTTATGGGACATTAGATTCTGGCTCCACTAAAGAGTTTTTTAGGGTAAGAATTTCTGCTTTCTAGATTTCTATTTTCGTTTTGCACTCATGTAGATATTTTCTCCTTATTTTAAAGGTAGCCATAAAAATGTGTGTTCAGCCTTACTAAATTGAAAATATAAGTGTTTTTATTCGTTATGATTAAATTTTATTATCTATGTATAAATATAAGGACCACGTTATAAATAATGCAAAGTGAAAGTAGTTTACAAGGAACTACTTAAAATATTCTAGTGTTTGGACAAAAAAAAAAAGTGTGTGATCATAGAAGGGAACTGGCATCATTTACCCAGGTAAAAATTTTAAACAAGGCCATTTACTAGATGTAATGTGTAAATAGATATAGGTGGTTTTCCATGAATATGGATGTGGAAAGGTGCACAGTCATGCTTTAGTAAGTATTCAGTATGATTTTTCAAGCTTGCAGAAGGGTAATGAGATCCAACCCCGTTGGCTCCTGTGGTAAATCAATGCCTGCTTTTGAAAACAGTCATTTGTATTTGCGTTACAATAATGCTTTGGAAGCCCCTCAGAGCTCTCCGTCTTCTACCTCAATGCATTTTTTTCTTGAAGACCCCTAGACACAGATCTCCAGCCGCCCTTGAGATAGCAGCTAACATGATAAAATTCATCAGAGCAATCGAGTGAGATACTAATGCTATTGGGAAAAATAGTATCACTGTTTTGTAGTGTTTGTGTTCTCTTTGTGGCTATCCATGTAAGATGGAAGTGGATCTGAAGTGCTACAGATACGGAAAAAAATGTTGTTTTTGTGTTCTTTAAGGAGTGGTAAGTCTTCAATTTAAGGAAAATGTATTTGTAAACAGTTGGAAATTACTTTTACATTTCAAATATAGTCTTCCTTGAAAGTGAAATAAATTCAAAAATTAAAAAATGCAGTGTATAGTTGCAGCAGTAACTATATACTAGAGCATTGTTTTCATTGGATTTTGTGAGACATATTTAATTGGTAACTTGCTAAATGGGAACCATACTGGTTCTACGTGGGAGAAAAGCATTCATTAGTAATTTTCATGATCGAAGGCCTGATGCTGATTGTGTTTCTACTGGTGTACAGCAGAATAAGCTGCAGGTGTGTGAACTAGTAAAACCAGGGTCAGGGTCTTCTACTACTGTTCCTGCCTTCTAACAGGAGTCCTGGTTGGCGGTGCTCAGTAGCATGTGAACATGTGCTTCTCTTTTTGTTAATGCAGACTTTTAGATCATGGCTGCACTGAGGACCAAACGTGAACTAGAAGGCTTTTTCAGTAGTTTTTTCTTTGACATTTTCAAGCTTTATTGTAAAGCAAAAGCTAACTTTATGTGCATGGATTAGTATGTATTTCTTATGCTTCAAGAATCATGTTTATTGATGTTGATTGAAATATCTTTGATGATTACTTATAAGAAATAGGTGGTTGTTTTGTGTTCTCTACAGCTACTGATGCAGTTTTGTGAAAATGAGTTATTTTTTATTTTCAATACATGAGGAAAAATTAGACTTTGAAGCTATAGAGGACTGTGAAGAATAAATATTAGACACTAAGATAATAAATATTTCAACTGAAGTCAAAATGGAAGCAGCTGATAGGAGAGAATTAAGTAATAATATAGTGTAAGGAACAGTAAGATCTTTACTAAGTGGTAGTAAGTATCTTCAGCAGATTCATTTTACAAAATTTGAAAATAGTTGACTCCCAAGTAGTAATTATTAGACTCCTAAACTCAGATTTAAATCTATATGTATCTTTTCAATTATACTTTTACACAACTAACGTTTCTGGTGTTTTTCCGACCGTAGGAGTGCCGTTTCATATATTTTGTGCATAAAATAGGTGAAGGCTTTTTGGGGGATATGTTCTTTACTTTCTGTTAAGTTAACTTTGGTTCCACACAAACAAGGCTGTAATCATCTACTCCGGAAATTTCTGCTCAGCAACTTCTATCACAAGTAGATTGATTCACCATGTGCAATTCAGCTTCCTAGTGTGATGATTATACCTAGTATTTACCAAAAATAATTTAAACTTTTTCAATAAATATATTTTTCAATAAATATACCTGACAATCTCTTCTTGAGAAGAGAGACTTGAGACTCAAATTTCAAAACTGAAACTCCTTCTGTTGAAGTCAATGTGAAAACACTATCTAACACTGAGGAGAGTATAACTTTACCCAGAGTATTTCTTTGTTTTTACTGAATTGAATTGGCTCTATCATCTTTTATAAGATCTGAATCTTACATTCATTGTCCGTACAGCTGGAAAAAACAGTTGTGGATCTAGCAGCAAGTTCAATGGACTGACTTACTGTCTATCACTGTCGTGAATTAAACGAGTAAAAATACTTGTTTCTTTAGCAATGCAGGCTGTTTCTTCCTGAGGAAGCAACATTATTTTCAAGTTTGTTTTTCTGCTGACCTCACGTGTGCTGTACCTAGGTCTTTGCTAGTAGAGAAGAGGACAAAATTAGGAATCCCAGAGTATGCTGGGGATGAAAACACTGAGATGAATTTACCTGTCTACTAGAACATCATCTGTGATAAAGACTTCACACAAGTGAAAATGAAGTGCTTCTGTTGAGCAGATACATAAGGAGGGGCACTGGATTTGTCCATGTAGTATTAACACTAGTAGATAGCACCTTCAAAACTTGAGAAGAAGTTTGGCAAATACCAGAACACTGAACTGCTTTGGTGAAGGTGGATGTGGGAATGAATGTGAAGGCAGAGCCAAGATAAGGAAGATAGATCTTCTAGGTTCTTTTTCTCTGGGAAGAACTGCAGTTTCTGTGTGCTCAGCTACATGATGTGCTTTTCAGTCTGTTCTGGCTCTGTTCACCCTTTCCACTTGGGTGAGGACAGCATGAGGACAGGTTACGTAGGCATTCGTTGTTGAGGTCACCCCTGACGTGACCCAGCCGTGCTCTCGTTCTTCTGCCCGTAGTGCTGATGGGCTGGCAACCAGAAGAGGCATGTGGTGATACTGACAGAAGGGCAGAGAGAAAGGAGATTGGTACTGTTACCAGCTCTCTAGAATAGAGGTGAAGAGGTGACATCCAGCCAGCACTGTCATTAGTGAGAAGAGAGACAGCGTCAGTGTATGTAGCAAGAGTTGTAAAAGACAAACAAAAAGAACTCCCCAAAACTCCACCAAGACTGACTTCTGACTTGAAAGGACCAATTTCTATCTTGAAGTTCAGGACTTGCAGTCATTATGTACTGACATAGTGGATTACTTTGTGTGACCATGAAGCCATGTCTTTTTCTCCCTCAAGACATCTCTAAAGTACTGGAGTCCTACTGAAGCACAGGAGTGCTTTGGATATATGTATGGCGAGTTGTTTTGTGTGTTATTATTACTGTTATTTTTACTTTTGAGATATTCTGATATAAATTTGGAAGGAGTATGTACAATTTTGAGAACTTCTAGTCCACATTTTTTGACCTTTCTATATGTGTATACTCTTAACTTTTGCTTTGCTAGTATTGTGAATGCCAGTTATTGTACATCTGCCCATCATGCTGGGACATCTAGTAATAACATCTGGCAAAGAAAGCAACCAACAGCTGATGAGGACGGAGCTGACGCAGAAAAGAAAATGTAAATTCTTCACCCGAAGAGCCTTACATTTAGAATATAATGAAATCTCAAATTAGAGATTCTACCTTCTAGAGTTTCTACCTTTACATCGTGCAGTATTCTCAATGAAAGTTAAGCACTTAAGAACAAGTTAAATACTGTTAGATACTGAAAGGAAAGCTACATGTTTCAAAATTACATACATCTGAAGGACACGAGTTTCACTTTGCTTGTTTTTAGTTGTTGTTTTTGTTGTTTTTATTTTTTTTTCCAAAATAATGATGTGTACTTGCAGATTAAACTGTATGCAAGTATAAACATGAGTTAAATTTAAGGAGGCTAAAACACAGAGCAGCTCATGACACAGAGCCTGTTCATTTTAATTCACTGGGACTCTCATCAGAGGTTTTCAATTTACAGTGGAAGAGATTGGACAGAATCCAGTATCTACAGAGAAGCAGTGCTGAAAGAAATGTGCTGTTGTTTGCTTATGTTCCCTGTTTGGAGCCGGCTTCTAGGGAAGGACTAAGATGGTGTAATAACGTAGTGGGCAGAACCTCAGCTTAGTTTTTGTAAGCAGTTAAAAGTGGAAACATATATGCCTGAAAACAGCTGGGTCAAATAGTGGAGTATGTCCAAAATGAGAAAGGAAGAGTTGTGCTTGACTTAAAGTAGTTTTTAAGTGTTTAACTACCTGCTAGCAGGTATCTAAGGTGAAATTCAGCAACTGCTAAGGCAAAACAAGAAATAATTGCTGACTTCAAAGATTTTATCCAAAGGTATTTTTACATGTGTTTAGATTGAAAATTTGCTTGACTATAAAGTCTTAATTTGATCAAACTCATTTCATGTAGATTGAGACTGATGTGGTAATCACATCCATAATCTAGTTTCTAAATTTACTTCTTACAAAACCTGGCTTGTTTCGCTTAATACTGAGCTTATATTTTCCCACAGTCCAGTTAAGTATACAGACATCTCCTTGCAAGTGATACCTTCCTACCCATCTTACAAGTGAAGTATGAAATGTGATATAAGAACAATTAGCCTTGACTAAAACTATGAACTAATTCCTGAGTGTTATTTTTGAGTGCTGTTCTTCATTAGATTTTTATTTCTATGGTTGCTAGGTCAGAAATTCCTACATTCGTTTACTTGGTGAGGAATCTGTGAGCCATCTAGTGGGTGGTTCCTTCCTAACACTTGGCCATTGGAAAAGTCTGGTTATGGAGCCTTTTCCCATGCAGCTTTCCAGGCCCTGCCCTCAGTCAGTGATGTGACTTCCCTCATGTCCCCACTTACCTGTTGTGAGGAGAGTTCACTGGGGTGGCAGTGTGACATGGGGAGCCACATCTCCCTGTGGTTTAATGACAAAAACACAATAGATTTTGCTGGATGGCATACACTCGAGGTATACAACATGTATACGAGTTCATTTTAATTAATAAGCAAATAAACAGTGAAGTGAGCAGTAGCAGCAGGACCGAGGGAAAGTACTATGAGATAAATGGCCTGTCTTGAATGTTCAGATGGGAGACTCGTTCAGGTATGGAATGCATATGTTAGAGGTGTATGCCTGCTGGGTATCAAATAATTTGTAGGCAGACACACAAAATGCTGGAATGCTACTGATAGTGCACAGTGATGGTCACTTTGGTCACTTTTCAAAGGTGGTACAATATAGCAGTGTTTGGAATTCCCCTACTTTTATTTAGGATTTTTCTAGACGGAGTGAGGCTGATGCATGGGCAATAGGATGTGTCTGAGAAACCTACTGCGCGTTCAGCACAGATTATTCCCCTTGGTCATTCTGGTCACGCTCATATATCCATCCCTGTTGGTGTAAGTGAATATTCTGAGTACGAGTAGACTAACAGTTGAGCCAGGAAGCTCTAAAAAAGGCAGCTGTGGTGTTATATGTGTACGCTCTGGCTATTGGAGTTGGAATATTTAGATGTTTAAAAACTTTCAGTGAGTGTTAGTTATGCCAGAGCTTTTAGTACTACTGGGTGTATAGAGAATGTGGACGTACGAGTTCTCAAAATCTTCCCAGATAACATTTCTTGACAGAAAAATAAGGATATATCTGGGAAATACACATTGATGATAGTGCTCTGTTACAAGAACAATGGAATTTTAGGAAGTACGGAAGATGATATTTTTGTACTTGATTCATTTCTTTAAAAAAAATGGTGTAATTAATGATACTGTGTTTGAAGTAGGATTGCAGTTCCAAAATAGATATTGCAACATGTCTCCAGTGAAATGCTTCCTACTACATTTTATTATTGTTTAGATTTGGTATGGTTATATATACAGCAGTAATGTGTCACAGAGAACCTGCAAAACCAAATGATCTAGCAACGTAGAAATCTAACAATACCTGAACTACGTGCAGTATATGTTAAATTTGTTGGTAGTTCTTTCTGTTATGCTTTTCTACCTCATACACTGATTTAGGTTGCTTCTTTAAGCAATTCTGTCATTCTGCGATTCAGAAAAGTGTATTTATGATATGTGGAATAATCTTTATGATAACAAGAGGCTGTTTTTGTTGTGAACCGAAGCCCTTTGGGGGTTGATTGTCTGCAGAACTTGGTTAGCAGAAAGTGCCATGTTAGCAAGCAGAGATTTTTCTCATTCAACTTGCGTGGATGGCGTGGGGAGGGGGATTCATGCCTGACTTTTCTCCATTTTTGTTAGAATTGTACAGTAAGTGACAATATGGAAAAGTCCAGCTTTGTATATTGTTTTACTGATTGGTTTGTACTGACCCTGACCTGTCATACATTTAAGTGCACCTCAAATGCCCATTCTGTTTTCTTTTTATTTAATAGCAATGCTCTTTTTTTTTTCTTTTTTTTTTGGGTGATAAGTAGGCAGCAAATTTGTTTTTCCTCCACATTTTCCAAGTTAAGGAAAAAAAAAAAAAAAAACCTCTATCAGTTGGTAGTTAAAACTGACAATTACAGTTATAACTACCAATTGGTTAAAGTACTTTAGGCAATAATCTTTCTAAAGAAAAGCCTGACCAACCTGCAGGAAATAAAATGACATAAGCACCTGTCAAATGTGAGGCATGTGGAGTATCACAGATAAGAGGAACCTTGAAATAGGTGCCTCGTTACTGATGTTCCCTTCAAGTCTCGCAGCAATATTAGTTTCCTCTGTGGAGCAATCTGAAGTTGTCTAGTGGCACTCTGGCACATCTCAGCTCGCTTCTCATTTGGATAATAAACAACTGCAGAGAGCTGCAGAAAATGAAGATCATCTTGTTTGAGTGGGAATTTCTGATGAATATTTTACCAAAATGTGGCACTCTCTTAATCTGGCATGTCTTTGTAAAATGGATATAGCAGTGTTTGCTTCAAGTCTTTGACAAGTATAAAACATATCTAATGACAGCTAATGCTAATAATAGTAAAGGAAAATGTAGGTGTTTGAATCTTTCAACATTGGATCGGGAACTTGCCTAAAAATGACATAATCCTATTTTCCCACTTGTGCTTTCACTGTCTACATAAAGGTTAGTTAATTAGGCTTCATATTGTCTCCACAGAGATCTAAAATTGCAGTGTTTGATAAAATGTGGACCTATATGAAAAGTGCAGAACCATCTGTGTTTGTGAGGACTACAGCAGAAGGGGTAGCTCGAGTACGGAAGTCCAAAGGAAAATATGCCTACTTGCTGGAATCAACCATGAATGAGTACATCGAACAAAGGAAACCCTGTGATACCATGAAAGTTGGTGGGAATTTGGATTCCAAAGGCTACGGCATCGCCACACCTAAAGGATCCTCATTAAGGTGGGTGGAATAGTATAACAATATGCTAAATGTTGTTATAGTATCCCACCTACCCTGATGTATCTTTACTGATGTCTATGGTTTGTATAAGGATATGAGGTAACTTTTAAACATTCCATTTCAAACACTATATCAAAATGAAACTGCCTATGATGACAATATTTGCAAGCATTCAGATACTTCCTTAAATTTTTTTACAGGCTTTCTAATCATATAAACATTCATTTTGTTATTATTATTTAATCATTTCAATTTTAAGGATTGTTTTCTTATTTCTTTTCCTTTTTTTTTTTAGATTTGCTTTTCACGTTACTAGCTTATAGTGTGAGTCTATTTCCTCATACCCTGTAGAAAACGTCGCTCTGCTCATGAAACTAAAACCGAATGGCTGCATTTGAACAGTAAACCGGAGTAACTAACAAAATGTGCCATTGCTTAAAGAGGGCTTTGTTTCGGGGAAAAGGATAATGCACTTTGAATTTCTTTGCACACATCTCTTTACTATGTAGTTAACTCTTTGTATTCCTATTTTG